GGGTCCGGGCTGGGGATTCGAACCCGCCACCTTAGGTGTACGTGGCTGGCGCCTTAGCCGGTTGAGCTATAGGCGCCGAGCCGCCACCAGAATATTTCATTGTAAAATCCTGACAATTATAACATTAAAGTACAATAAAATCATTTGTCAAGGAGCTTTCAAACAGACCCAAGACCTCAATACTGTGTACTGTCTTCAAATCTGCTAAATATCCTCCTGAAAGTCTTCTCTTACCTCTCTCTAGATGATTTCAAATGCACTTTCCCAACCCTATGATCATGTATGGGCTGGTAAAAGGATAACTTGGTTTACCCAATAAGCAGATTAAGGAAGATATCCCAGCTGTAAGGCAGAAAACTAGGAGTCTTGCGTCGTCGAGGGAACTCCGGGACTAAATATGCAGCCAGGGTGGAGAGCAGAGGTTAAAGGTAAAGGGTCCAGTCGAAGAACTCAACCTTGTGAGAAGAACACTGGCATCTGCTGGAGGCGCCAGCTTCTAAGCCAGGGACGGGGAGGCGGGCCTCTGACTAGCCCGAATTATGAGGAGGAAACTGAGGGACTCACACTTTTACAGGGCGATCGTAACCCCTACAAAGGGGCACCAAGCCCGAGATAAGGCACGCGAGGCACAGGCCCAAGACCACCCGCTCTGCTCCCCACTGCCTCCCTCCCTCCCTCCGCCGTCCCGCCTCCTACCGGGCCGCTTCCGGTCAAGAAGGGGCGCCTGCGCAGGGAGGGCCAGTCAGCGCGCCTGCGCAGTGCGTCAGTGACAGGCTGGAAGCTGCTGTGCTGTCCTGGGTTGCCTGAGATTTGGCCCAGCAGAAAAGAAGATGGTGCTGGATCTGGATTTGTTTAGGGTGGATAAAGGGGGCAACCCAGCCCTCATCCGAGAGACGCAAGAGAAGCGTTTCAAGGACCCGGGACTGGTGGACCAGCTCGTAAAGGCAGACAGCGAGTGGCGACGATGTAAGTACCGGGACGCACGGGTGCTCCCCCCGATCCTAAACCAACTTCATCTCCGAATCTGGTCACTGCTTCTGAGGCCATAGTTTCCACCCTTCGTCACACACCCCCGCCCAGGCTGCGGTGGCTCTAAGGCTTTGCCTATCCCCCAAAACATAGCCTAGGTACTGGGATCTCCCGGCTTTTACCCTCCAGCCCGGCTGCGCGAGATCCTTTCTACGCATGCTCAGTGAAGAGCGCAGCTTATATGCGCGTGCGCATCGAGAGCTGTCAAGTCTTGCGGCTACTTGGATAGCTTGGAGAAAGCCCTGACCCCTGAATACTTAGTTACCTTTGGTCGCCTCCAGTCTTTCTCATCTTGAGCAAAGTGAGAGTTGTTTGCCTCTATTTTTATAGGATTAAAGCCTCCTGCCTGCAGTTGAGTCACAATAGGTTCACTCCATCCATGTGGGAAGCATTTGGGGACGTTGGAGGCCGCTCTTGGCTAAAAGCAATGATCCCAGAGCTTTTAGGAAGGCCCACCCCCTGACCTGGGAGCATACCTTTAAGAATAAAAAAGTCCTTTCCGGGGCGGCACCTGTGGTTCAAAGGAGTAGGGCGCCGGCTCCATATGCCGGACGTGGCGGGTTCAAACCCAACCCCAGCCAAAAACTGCAAAAATATATATATATATATTTTCCATGGTTGATCAGACATGGCTTAGGTGGGGGACTGCGGTGAGGCAAGAAGCAGCTTGTAATTACTGAGGCTGTTTAATTGTAATTTGTGGAAGTTTTCCTTAAGAGACATTGGCAGAGTTGGGCTAGCGCCTGGAACTGATCCGAGCATCTTTCATGAAGTTAAATAAAAGCATAAAACCGTCTGCATCTCAGTCTCTGCCTAGATTAACCGGAATGTCACTGGTTGCGACTGCTACCAAGCACATGTGATTCATTTTGTCTGATGCAATAGGTCTGCAACCAGCTGAGAGCCAGGTTGATGACAGCACACTGCAAAGACGACCGCTATTTCAGGGTGTGATGGATTTCTATTAAGGAAAATTGATTTTATAAGTGCATAAGGGCCTTGGGTGCCAAAAGAATATTTAGCTTGATTTGTCTGCTGATTCTGTTTGTCTGAGGCACTCTAATGCGGTAGTTTGATTGTGAGATTCCACATTTGAATCTGAAGATTTGAGTTACAATGGAAATTTAATTTTGCCACTGTTTTTGTTTAGGATAAAACTAAATTGAGTATTGTTATACCAAACCTGAAGTCAGGAGTACTATGTCAGAATTTTGTATTAGTACAGCCATTAGCCAGCAGCTAAAAGCTTTGAATGTGTTAGTCTCTGGTGTGTGATGTACTTACCTGTGAAAAACTTTGTTCCTTATCTGACTGTGGTGAGTTCTCAGTGACAAGGATTGAATTTTATTCATCTGTATATCCCAGTACCCAGGATATACATACATGTATGTATGATACATGTATATATATACACAGGTGTACATAGAATCTCAATGCCTAGCACAGTGCACCTGGTCTTTAGTAAGAGCTTGATAAATGTTTGTTAGATGAAGGAATATCTTCTGTGTTTGGGCGCTTTACTTTTTTTTTTTTTTTTAAACTGAAAGAGGTCTCTTTCTGTAAGCAGAAGTAGTGCCACACCCCACCTTCAGAGACTTTATAATCTGTGTGAAAGCCAGTTTATGTAGTTTATTTTCAGTGTATGTCTTAATTTGATTTTTTTCACTTAACAACCCTTTACAGTATTCTCTTTGCATCCAAAGGGTGTTCATGATTTTCCCTAAGTACCTGACTGCCCAGTTTGGACATTGACAGATCTTGCCAAGATATAAAAGATCTGGGTTCTTTTATATCTTGAACTTCAGATCAGAGAATGGGGTCTTCTATCACTGGCTGAAACAGGAACTTGTAACCAGAGCCTCAAATCATGCTCCCTGACTGAGCTTCACTATGCCTGTTTGTCTTCTGGAGACTTCCAAGATGTCACTTTTTTGAGGAAAAAAGCAGGAGTCTAATGTAATTTGGAATCATAATGCCACATTGGAGTTAACTATAGCTCTTCTCACTCCAGGGATTTGAACTGTGATTTCTTTCTTTTTTTTTTTTTTTCTTAAGACAGAGTCTCACTGTGTCGCCCTAGGTAGAGTCCTGTCATGTCACAGCTCACAGCAACCTCAGACTCTTGGGGTGGCACCTGTGGCTCAAGGAGTAGGGTGCCGGCCCTATATACCAGAGGTGGTGGGTTCAAACCCAGCCCTGGCCAAAAACTGCAAAAAAAAAGTTTAGCCAGATGTTGTGGTGGACGCCTGTAGTCCCAGCTACTCGGGAGGCTGAGGCAGGAGAATCGCTAAGCCTAGGATTTGGAGGTTGCTGTGAGCTGTGACTCTACAGCACTCTACCTACCAAGGGCAATAAAGTGAGACTCTGTCTCAAAAAAAAAAACAAAAACAAAAACAAAAAAACTCAAACTCTTGGGCTTAAATAATTCTCTTGCTTCAGCCTCCCAAGTAGCTGGGACTACAGGCACCTGCTATAATGCAAGGCTATTTTTACTGTTGTACTTGTCATTGTTGTTTAGCTGGCCTGGGCTGGGTTCGAACCTGACAGCCTCTGTGCATGTGTGGCTGGTTCTTTTTTTTTTTGTCTTTTTGCAGATTTTGGCCAGGGCTGGGTTTGAACCTGCCACCTCCAGCATATGGGGCTGACGCCCTACTCCTTTGAGCCACAGGCGCTGCCCCAGTGTGGCTGGTTCTGTACCACTGTGCCATGGTTACTAAGCCTGAACTGTGATTTCTTCTTTTTTATTCAAAGTAGTATAAGGAGGCCACACGACAGGTATTTGTCTTGGCTCTATTCCCAAAGCAACTCTGTATCTCGAAATCTGCTGCCAACTATAGGAATTCTATCCTCCCTAAAAAGTGCTATCCTAAGTGAAATTTCTTTTTACTGTCAATTGAAGTTGTTATTTTCTCTTAACACTTACTGTACATGCCTTAAGCCAGGCCCTTAATCATTGTTTGCCCCAGCAATTGGATAGCTTTCTAACTGCTTTCATTTTCATCCCAGTCTTACTCAGGGGGAGGCCATGCTCAGGGCATGTGATTATTCTAAAATGCAAATCTAGGCCAGGCAACAGCTTGAGGCTCTGTCTCAAAAAATAAATAAGTAAATAAAAATAAAATGCAAATCTAATCATTTTTTACAGGTTTAAGTTTTAGGGTGGCACTCATACCTTAGAGTATCACTGTCTGATAGGAATAGAATGAGAACCACATGTGTACAGATGCTTCTTAACTTATGATGGGGTTACATCCTGATAAACTCATACATTTAAAATATATGAGTTAAAAATACCTTTACAGCTAGGCAAGGTAGTGCATACCTGTAATCCCAGCAATTTGGGAGACTGAGCCACAAGGATCGCTTGAGCTCAGGAGTTTGAGACCAGCCTGGGCAAGATAGTAAGACCCTGTCTCTTAAATAAATTAGCCAATGTGTTGTATGGTGGTAGTCCCAGCTACTCAGAAGGCTGAGGCAGGAGGATTATTTGGGCCCAGGAGTTCAAGGTTACAGCAGGCTGTGAAGTCCAAATTCCTTACCACAATTTATAGAGTCCCTCATGCCTTCCTAGCCTCATCATCTGCCACATCTGGCCTTCTGCTGTTTGTTCTAACCCTGTCATACTACTCTTTCATGGTTCCATGACTGTTGCCTCTTCAGGGCATATTCCTTACATGAGCATCCTTTTTTTCTTTAGTTGTTCCCAAAGTCATCAGAAGGCATATATACATTCTTATATGTATCTTTTGGTAGACATAAAAACTAGTTTCTGTTGGCATGTACCCAGGACTGGAATTGCTGGACCACAGGGTAGGCACATGGTTAGATTTAGTAGATAATGCTGAATAGTTTTTCAAAGTGATTATAGTGGTTGATAATTCCCACCAGCAATATCTCAGAGTTCCAGTTGCTTGAGACTCTTTCTAGTACCTGGCACTGACAGTTCTTTTAATTTTAGCCATTCTGGTGAATATATAGTGGTGTCTCATAGTGATTTTAGTTTGTATTTTCCTGGTAACTAAATATATTGAGCACCTTTTCATAAGTTTGATGGCATTTGGATAGCTGATTCTGAGAAGTACCTGTTCAAGCCTTTTGACCAAACTTATTTGATTGTCTTTTTCTTTTTTTTGAGACAGAGTCTCAAGCTATCACCCTGGGTAGAATGCTGTGGCATTATAGCTCACAGCAATCTCCAACTCAGGCTCAAGCGATCCTCTTGCCTGAGTTTTTCTTTTTTTTTGAGACAGAGTCTCACTATGTTGCCCTTGGCAGAATGCTGTGGCATCACAGGTCACAGCAACCTCTAACTCTTGGGCTTAAGCGATTCTCTTGCCTTAGCCTCCTAAGTAGCTGGGACTATAGGTGCTCGCCACAACGCTGGGCTATTGTTTTTTTTGTTTGTTTGTTTTTAGTAGAGAGGGTTTTGTTTGGTTATTTGTTTTTAGTAGAGATAGGGTCTCACTTTTTGCTTAGGCTGGTCTCCAACTCAGGAGCTCAAGCTACCCACCCGCCTTGGCCTCCCAGAATGCTAGGATTACAGTTGTGAGCCACCGCACCCAGCCTGATTGTCTTTTTCTTAGAGATGTGTAGGAATTCTTTATATTCTAGATATGAGAATACTTATTAATACAGATCACTGCAGATCTCTGTTCCCTGTCTATGACTTGCCTTTTCACTCTTTTGATAAGTAGAATTTCTTAATTTTAATGAAGTCTAATTTATTTACTTTTGTGCTGCTTGTGTTCTATTTAGGAAATCTTTTTATATCATGAGCTTCAGAAGTTGTTCTCCAGTTTTTTTCTAGTTTCATTTTAAGTTTACAATTCATCTCACATTAATTTTGGTATATTGTATGAGTTAGGGATCAAAGTTTGTATTTTCATGTGGAGAGCCAATTGCTCATGATAAGAACGCAAACTAAGAGTGGAAGGGAACTTCTTAATCTGATAATCAGTATTTCAAAAAAAATCCGTAGTTAACATTCTACAAAATATTGGAATACTTTTCCCCTGAGGTTATCAGTGAGACAAGAATGTCCATTATTACCACTTCTTCTTTTTTTTTTGAGACAGAGTCTCTGTTTGTTGCCCTTGGTAGAGTGCTATGGTGTCATAGCTCACAGCAACCTCAAACTCTTGGGCTCAAGCAGTTCTCTTGTCTCAGCCACCTGAGTAGCTGGAACTACAGGTGCCCCGCTATTTTTAGAGATGGGGGGCTAGCTCTTGTGCAGGGTGGTCTCAAACCTGTGAGAGGCAATCCACCTGTCTCAGCCTCCCAGAGTGCTAGTATTACAAGCATGAGCCACCACGCCCAGCCTCCATTATTACCACTTCTAATCAACATCATACTGGAGATTGCAAACAGTATAATACAAGGCAAGAAACGGAAATAAAAGATTGGAATGGAAGAAGCAAAACTGTCCTTGCTTGCAGATCACTTCATTGTTTATGCAGTATCTGAACTATTAAAATTAAGTAACTTTAGTAAGATCACTTGATACAATATACAGAATCTAAGGTACTTCTATGTACAAATAATAATTAAAAAGCATCTGATACCTAGAAGTCTATCTAGTATATCTAACAAATAATATTCAAGACTCCTCCAGTACTAAGCATAGTGGGATAGCACCTATAATCCCAGCCACTCAGGAGGCTGAGATGGGAGGACTGCTAGAGCCTAGGAAGTTTGAGGCCACCCTGGGCAACATAGTGAGACCTCATTCCTTAAAAAGAAAAAGTAAAAAGTGATGAGGACGCTAAAGAGATTTTTTTTTTTTAAAACAAGAGCCTCAAATTGTCGCCTGGGTAGTAGAGTCCTCTGGCATCACAGCTCATAGCAACCTCAAACTCTTGGGCTTAAGCAGTTCTCTTGCCTCAGCCTCCCAAGTAGCTGGGACTGTAGGCGCCAGCCACAATGCCCAGCTATTTTTATGTTGCAGTTGTCATTGTTTGGCAAGCCCCAGCTGGGTTTGAACCCACCAGCCTTGGTGTATGTGGCCGGCACCCTACCCACTGAGCTACAGGCGCCGCCCAATATATATATATATATATTTTTTTTTTGGTGATACTATTTTGAAGACAGCAAAGAGATTATTATTATTTATTTTTTTGAGGCAGAGTCTCACTTTGTGGCCCTGGGTAGAGTGCCATCATGTCATAGTTCATAGCAACCTCAAACTCCTGGGCTTAAGCGATTCTCTTGCCTCAGCCTCCCAAGTGGCTGGGTCTATAGGCACCTGCCACAACACCTGGCTACTTTTAGAGAAGAGGTCTCGCTCTAGCTCAGGCTGGGATTACACGTATGAGCAGCCACCTCGCCTGGCAGATTATTTTTTTTAACAAGGATTTATAAACTGAAAACTATTAAACATGAGAGAAATTAAAGATAATGAAGAGATACACTCTATTCATTGATTAAAATTTTAAGCATTGGTATGATGTTAGTTTCTGACTTAGTTTCTTTTATATCCCCAACACCTAGCATGGTGCCTTGCAAATAGGAAGGTTTAAATAAAATACAATTTTAAAAAACGATTTCAAAATAATTATAGATTTATAGGAAGTTGCAAAAATAGAGAGGTCCTGTGTATACTTCACTCAGTTTACCCCAATGATAACCGCTTACATATGTGTAGTACAATATCAAAACCAAGAAGTTAGCTGGGTGCCTGTAGTACAGCCACATAATTGGAGGCTGGTGGGTTCGAACCCGGCCTGGGCCAGCTAAACAGCAATGACAACTGCAACATAAAAATAGCCAGGCATTGTGGCAGGTGCCTGTAGTCCTAGCTCTTCTTGGGAGGCTGAGGCAAGAGAATCACTTAAGCCCAAGAGTTTGAGGTTGCTGTGAGCTGTGACACTAGAGACTCTACACACTACAACAGCTTCCGACTTTGTCTGAAAAAAAAAAAAAAATCCAGGAGGTTGACATTGCTGCAGTCAACAAACCTTATTCAGATTTCACCAGCTTTGCATGCACTCATGTGTGTGATCTGATCACATGTTTAGATTTTTGTGACCACCATACTCAAGATGCAGAAAGGTTCTGTCACCGCAAAGATGCTTCTTGCTATCTGTCCCTTTTTAATCCCCTCCCTGTGCCTTCCGGCTCACTCCTGGCAATCACTAATCTATTCTCCATCTCTTCGTTGTTTTGTCAATGTGAATAAGTGAATGAGAAGATAGTTATTCTGTACTGAAGTTTAAAGAGGGAAGCCTAGTGGCAAAGTCTTAGAGTAATTATGTCTAGGTGCAATCTCATTTTGAGTCATCAGTTTTACCTCTCAAAAGCTTGATTTTTATGAAAGTCCCCCTAATGCTTAGTTAGATTCAAGAGGTGCAACTTTTGCTAACCAGAGTTGAACCAGAGATGAACCATAATAACAAAATGTTAATTTGGGCCAATATGTTTGGTGATGAGTGCAGAGTCCTTCCCAAAGGAAACCAACTTATAATGAATTATTATTCTCAAGGCTGCCAAGTGAGCATTCTATCAGGGCAAAGGGATAATGTTACCCATTTCTGACAGAGATGTAGCTACCAAGTTCATGAGAATAGAAACACGATTGCCTCTTTCTGGATTCTCTTGCACAACATGTGGAGTTTTAAGAAAATTAGGCAGGTTACAGTTATTTGAGTGTCTTCCAATTTCTCAGATGTGTTACTTTACAGTGGTGTCACTCAGGCTGTGATACTTTTAAATTTCAATCTCAGAATGGCCTTTTCCTTGTCACTGAATGCTGGGGATACTCTACTATAGTCACCAATATATGCCAACTAAAGTTGGGGGTCCAAAGCTCAAAGACTTCATAATTTTATGAGACAGATCCTTCAGTGCTGCCTGCATTTTGGCCTTCAGCTGAGATCTAAGGAACCATAATCAGGAAGAGGTAGTCCCTTTTATGTACATTTCTTTGGTATATTTTTGGGTTCTTTTTTCTTAGGCAGATTTCAAGCAGACAACTTAAACAAGCTGAAGAACCTATGCAGTAAGACAATTGGAGAGAAAATGAAGGTAAGAGAACTCAGTAATAAACAGCCTTAAGAGCTGAGCCTTGAGTCAGTATTCAAATTCTATGACATGCTGAATTTTTTACCAAAGGGGGAAATACTATTTAAAAGAAAAGGACGGAGAGAACTAAGAGACACTTTCATTGACCTGATATTAAGCCTACCTTCTGTGTTCAGATGAGATTCTTGCGACTAGCCATTTGTCTGTTCTTTTCTTATAATAGGAATATAAATTCCAACAGTCAATGTTTCCAGGCTTAACCCATGGTACCAGAAAGATTTTCTTATGGTAGACTTCAGATTTTTCTGCCCAGTGTAGTCATGCTTTATAATGAAAAAAGCATAGGTGTGGAGTTCAAATCTTGCCTTGGCCTCTTGTTAGGTTATGCGACTTCTAGGCAAAATAACTTCTGAGTTTCAGTTTTCTCATCTGTAAAATGATAATACTGATGATCACTTCTAGAATGAAATTGTTAGAACACAGTTTTGTTTTCTTTTTTGTTTTTTTAGTGTAGAAAACTTGGCACAGTGTCCAGAACATGTAGCTGTTCAGCAATTGTGAGTTAGAGGCCTACATAGAAAAAAATTCTTCCTGGACAGGCGCAGTGGCTTACACCTGTAATCCTAGCACTCTGGGAGGCTGAGGTGGGTGGATCGCCTGAGTTCAGGAATTCAAGACCAGCCTGAGATAGAGCAAGACCCCATCTCTACTAAAAATAGAAAAACTGAGCAGGCATTGCAGCACATGCCTATAGTCCCAGATGTTCAGGAGGCTGAGGCAAGAGGATTGGTCAAGCCCAGGAGTTGGAGGTTGCTGTGAGCTGTGTGACACCATAGCACTTTACCAAGGGTGATATGGTGAGACTCTGTCTCTGAAAAAAAAAATTTTTTTTTAAAAATCATACTTTAAGTTAGTTGCAGAGTCCGACTTTGAACTCAGAACTTGAATTTGCTGCCTTAGGGGACTGAAATAACAAGGGAGTCCCATAACTATCTTGCTACTGTATGTTTACCCTGCTAATATTGCCATTGCAAAAATCTTGAGATTTAGCCATTTTTTTCCTACCTCAGTAGTCTCTGCTGCTTCTTACCAAGATTCATTCTGATAGTTTCAAGGTGATTTCACTCTTGAGTCACTGAAGCGTGTGAGTGGGGTTATGGGTTAGAGTCCTGACTTTCAATTTGGTGTATTAGAAAGTGTAATGAAACTAAAGGATTCCCATGCTTTACCTGTAGACAGTTTAGTTCTTTCTCACACCTCCATTTTGTGCAGTGGAATATGAAGTGGTTTAAACATCATTGCCTATTGTTGTATGTATAGAATAAAAAAATCTTTAGGGCATCAGACATGATTTCTACACTTTGTTATACTTGCAAAGCAGGTGCTCAACTTTCTCAAATTATTTCTATACAAGTTGTGCTGAAGTCTTAGGTATCTTGTTATAATAGCCTTTAACTAATTTTCTTTTAGCTCTTTTTCATTTACGAAGAATTTGACTTTTTGGTTTTGGAAGTACTCTTTGAGAGAATTTGACCTTTAACATTGGTCTTAAAATTGTTCTGTGCAAGGACTAGAAATGATAATTTGGCATAATATCATAAAGAAAGGTGAGACGAGAACCCGGGGAGAAGGAAATCTAGCCCTGCCTACACCCCTGCCATTTTGCCTAATTGCATTAATAGTTCTAAACTTAGTTGCAGATTCTGTGACTTTTCATTTTATTTTCCTTGATTGTCTGATATTCTATCATTCCATCCATCTGTCTCCCTACTTAGCCTCAATGTTGGGGTTGTTAGCAGGCAGACAAGGATTCACACCCAGGCGTCTGCCCCAAGGCCTGCTCCTGAGCACCACACTGCACTTCTCACAGTTTATGGTTCATGAACGTTGTAAATACATTCTCTTTTGATTCTTATGATGTTGTATGTTCAGGGAAATTCATTCTTCTGATGTTCTTGATGAGGTTAACTCTAACCCCAGTAGGTTAATTGATTTGACTAGGATCACAAAGCTAGGAAATGGGCTCAGCACCCATAGCTCAGTAGTCACGGTGCCAGTGACATACACTGAGGCTGGCGGGTTCGAACCTGCCCGGGGGTCCTGGAGAAGTAGGAAGAGCAAAAACCTGAGCTGAGGGGTGTGGTCTATACATTGGTGTGAGCACCTGCCCATCACCTGCACTCTGTAAACCAATTGGAGATTCTAAAACAGGAAGTAGGAACCCAGTGGGCAGGCTCCAAAGGGGTGTGGAGTTTGAAACAGGAAAAGGAGTTATCTGGGCCTCTTTCAGGGAGTACAGTGACAACCTCAACAAAAATATAGCCAGGCATTGTAGTGGGCGCCTGCAGTCCCAGGTACTTGGGAGACTTGAGGCAAGAGAATCGCTTAAGCTCAGGAGTTGGAGGTTGCTATGAGCTGTGACACCATGGCACTCTACCCAGGGTGACATAGTGAGATTCTGTCTAAAAAAAAATAAAAGCTAGGAAATGGCAGAGTAGGGACTTGAAACTTCGACCTCTGGCTTCTAGTTTAATTTTTCTCTTCTCTGTTGGATCTGTTAGAGAAAGTTATGAAGTAGGTGCTGTGATTAATTTATACAATATATTAATTTGGCGCTTCCTAAAACAGTGCAGAGATTTTCTTTTATTTAATCGTGTTGGGTTTTTTTCTTCCTGCAGAAAAAAGAGCCAGTGGGAGATGACGAATCCATTCCAGATAATGTATTAAATTTTGATGACCTCACTGCAGACACGTTAGCTGTAAGTGATTGTCCTTTTCTAAATTGGCGTCTCTGTTCTTTTGTCTTGGCTTTGTTCCTAGACAGAGAGTGCCAGCACTCAGCTCCAGACAGCATTGTGGCATCCATGAATTTCAGCTGCTGGGAAGGAAATGTCCCCACCTAACTCTTGTGATATTCTTTGCTTGAGCATGTATTAGACAACAGAGATGGAGACAGAGTAGCAAAATCAAGGGTAGGAAGAATAGAAAAAGGAATGGAACCGTATATGTTTTATGTGACTCCATTTTCTACCCCCTATTTCACAAAGTCAAGGAACTGTTCAATTTACCGTAATAGAGTTAAAATTCACCATACTGGCCTAAAGTAGTAATTTCTGAGATTTTTAGTCACTGAACCCTATCTTGACTCCCTTAACACATAGCAAGAGCATAAACCAAAGAAGCAAAGTTACTGTGTTTTCAGGGCTAGGTTGGCAGCCTATTCCACCTAACCCTACCTACCAAGGGTTCCCTGAAAGGCAGTCAGAGCGTGGTTTGAAACTTCTGCAATAAGGAATCCACAGTAAGCTTAATCCAAGGTCTCTTATACTAAATTTATAATCTTCCTAGGACAATTAAATGTAGCATAGCATATTGAAAGAGTGCAAAATTGGTTCAATCAGGAAAATCAGAAAGTGCAAGAAAGGGAAAATTCTCTTAAGAGAGCTCAGCTACAACTCCTGAGATGGCCTCGGCACCCAAGTTCAGTGGTTAGGGCGCCCGCCACATACACCGGGGGCTGCTAAACAACAATGACAACAATAAAAAAAAATAGCCGGGCATTGTGGTGGGCACCTGCAGTCTCAGCTAGGTAGGGAGGCTGAGTCAAGAAAATCACTTAAGCCCAAGAGTTTGAGGTTGCTATGAGCTGTGATGCCACAACACAGCCACAGCACTCTACCGATGGTGACATAGTGAGACTCTGTCTCACACACACAAAAAAAAAAACAACTGCTGAGATGTATTGAAGCAGTAAGAGTGGGAAAATTTATCCATCTCTGCCTTGGGGAGCCCAAAGAAAAATACCAATGGATGTGCAGAGAAAGACTCCCTGGATGAAATCAATCTCAGTTCTTCAAAAGCCTTTGTTTTCAGTTTTTATAATGCTACCACAAGGGTTGTCTTCAGAGCATGACAAGGTTATTCCTATGCTGGTCCTGCTTACCGGCTGGCTCATTTATTTGCAGAAACTGAAAGTCTCACAAATCAAAAAAGTTCGACTCCTCATCGATGAAGCCATTCTGAAGTGTGATGCTGAGCGGATAAAGCTGGAAGCAGAGCGATTTGAGAATCTCCGAGAGATTGGGAACCTTCTACACCCCTCTGTGCCCATCAGTAACGATGAGGTGGGTGGCTGTAACACGGCAGGAGGCCACCTTACCCACCTTACAGCTCTGTCTCTATGGAGGCAGGGTGGGAGGAGATCAGTGAAATACTGGTGCTCTGTGTCAGAAGCAGGCTCTTTGTATATTCCCCCTGCCCACCAATTGAGAATTGCAGGAGTCAGATCCTTGCCTGATTGGGAAATGGCAGAGACAGCAGGTAGGAGGCTCCTGGCACAGAAATCTCTTCTAAATAGAGCTGCTGTCCTCCACTGTGTGTTGCCCGTGGTAGCAGCAGTCCTGTGGGAGAGATCTGTTAAATCAACCTAACCCCCTCACCCCCACCCTGCTGAGAAGCTGCAGGTTGAAGGGAAATCTGCATGACAAAAGTTTCCTGCTGAGCTGGAGCTTCCCCGGCACAAAGCTGCTCTGAGCCCAGCCTTTGTTCCCTGACACCCCAGCCGTGGCAGGGCCCATCTGTGCCTCTTTCATTCATCCCCTGGTGAACGTTAAACTCAATGCCGGCTGGGGTATGCAGGAGGCCACAGAGCACAGATCGTGAGCAGACTTGGGAGGTCAGGGCCCCCAGCCCGCCCTCAGGTGGCCCTGGAGCCAATGAGAGCCTGGAAAAAAAAAATTTGACATTCTTCTCTGCACCCCAGGCAATGCTGGTTGTCTAAGGGGTTATCCTTGTGCTGGATTTAAGGAGGTAGTTGAAAGGGTACAAAAAAAAAAAAAGACCTCAGAGAATACTATAGATCTCTTGAAAATCTTGATTCCCAGCTTCATGGCTAGAGTTACTCTAGGACTTTGTCAATTACTGTTTCTCTGCTGAGTAGCAAATTCCCTTCTCTAGTCATTGTGCACAGTGTACCAAAACCTAGTGTATGACTCAGGGGACGGCATCACAAAGCTAGGTTGTATTGAATGGGGTTTGGAAAGACGAGATTGTAGAATTAGGAAATAATGTATCTTTTTTTTTTTCATGTTACAAAAAAAACTCACTTTAAGATTTATCTTTGTAACTTTTTTAAACAGAAGACAATACACTCCTTGGGGGAAAGGTAAGGGATTGAGAAGACAGGTCCTGGGTAAAAATTATTATGACAGCACCTGGAGTTGATAGGCCTGCCTAGGAGAGAAACACAGGTGCTGCCACACCGGGAAATAATGTATCTTTCGCTCTGGGTCTTGTGTCCTTAGGATGCTGACAACAAAGTAGAGAGGATTTGGGGCGACTGTACAGTCAGGAAGAAGTACTCTCACGTGGACCTGGTGGTGATGGTAGATGGCTTTGAAGGCGAAAAGGGAGCAGTGGTGGCTGGGAGTCGAGGGTACTTCCTGAAGGTAAGAGTGGGGAACCAGAAGGGATCGGATTATAAAAAAAGAAGTAATAAAAATTTTCTAGAAAGAAAAAGAGGCTTGTAATTCTACCATTTGTACTTGCTTTTCTGCACATGTACTGGCAATTAGATGCAATTCTTGTTCTAAAGCGAGAGAGGGCTTATCAGGATTCCATAGAACAAAAGCCACTAAATGATCCTCCATAATGGATATGTTTTGCTGACTGAATCAGAGCAGTCTCTGCCTTTAAAGAGCTCAGTATAATTGGACAGTCAGACAAATAACAAAGAATTAAACCTGCTGTGATGTGTACTAAGGCATGAGTAGGCCCGCAGTGCTTTGAGAACAGGTAGGTGGAGGCATTAAACCCAGATAAGCTGAGGCAGAGGCCAGATGAATTCAGGGAAGCCTTCCAGAAGATATGATAAAATAATTTTGGAAAAAGACTGCACACAGATACATACATGTGAGTATGTGCTACATATACAAATGAGTTTAGTGTTTTAAGAATTAGCACAAGAAGGCTGGGCATGGTGGCTTATGCCTGTAATCTCAGCACTTTGGGAAGCTGAGGTAGGAGATCACTTGAGGCCAAGAGTTAGAGATGAGCCTAGGCAACATAGCAAGACCCCATGTCTGTAAAAATTAAAATAAAAAAAGAGCCAAGAGTGGTTGAGTGTGCCTGTAGTTCTAGGAACTTAGGAGGCTGAGGCAGGAGAATTGCTTGAGCCCCAGAGTAGGACGCTGCAATGAGCTATGACCATGCCATTGCACTCCAGCATGGGTGACAAAGTAAAACCATGTCTCTTTTAAAAAATATTATATTTTGGCAGCAGTAGGTAGGGTGCCAGCCAAATACACTGAGGCAGATGGGTTCGAGCCAGCCTGGGCCTGCTAAACAACAATGACGACTGCAACCAAAAAGCAGCTGGGCATTGTGGCAGGTGCCTGTAGCCCCAGCTACGTGGGAGGCTGAGGCAAGAGAATTGCTCAAGCCCAGGAGTTTGAGGTTCCTATGAGCTATGACACTACGGCTCTCTACCAAGGGTGACAAAATGATACTCTGTCTAAAAAAAAAGAAAAGAAAAGAAAAGAAAAGAAATCGTATTTTTCAATTAGCACAGGAAAACTCCCATGTACCCTGGGGGGAATAATCCTCTTCCCTTACTTTGATATTTTAAAGAGAATTCTCTTAATGGTGTGCCTGGATGACAAGCTGGGCTTTGGCATTAAAAAGGAACCTCTTGAACCAGTTGCTGTGGTCCCTGGTTTTGTTGGCCTCCTGTTCTGTTCTCTTGCCCTGGTTGTCTTGTGTATGTCAATTCTAGCAGGTAAGCATGATGGTGACAGGACCCAATCACACAGTGCTGTGTCTCTGCTCCTATAGGGGGTCCTGGTATTCCTGGAACAGGCGCTCATCCAGTATGCCCTTCGCACTTTGGGAAGTCGGGGCTATACTCCCATTTATACCCCCTTTTTCATGAGGAAGGAGGTCATGCAGGAGGTGGCACAGCTCAGCCAGTTTGATGAAGAACTTTATAAGGTGAGTAGCCCGGACGTGTGGCAGAATGACTTCTAACTTCAGCAGCCCTATTCGATAGAACTTTTTGTGATGATGGAAGTGTTCTATAATGTGACTCTTGAGCACTTAAAATGTGGCTAGTGCAACTTAGGAAGCAAATTTTAAATTTTAATTATAAAATTAAATGTTTGGCTAGTGGCTCTCATATTAGTGCAGATACAGAGCTTCTTGTATCGTTTCATGATGTATCCAAGTTAGGCATACCTTACCATCATGAGCTTAAGAAAGATTCCCGTTTCCTCCTACTCTAGACCCCAGACGGAAGTTCCCACAGATCACAGCACACTTGCCCTGGGGTGGATGTGGCTTTCAGTCTGTGGCTTCTTCTCAACCGTGGACCATTTCAGGGAAAGCCAGAGGATTCAAATCAAGGTTCAGAATGTCATTGTGATCAACTGGCTCTAACACCAGCGGTAGCACCCCCGTTTGTGTCCAGCACTCAGAATTTCTAGTGCCCCATCCACTGCAGCAGAGTTTGCTTCTCATTGTCCCTCTCCTTCAAGACTCCTCTGTCAGAAGTGGGGGCTTTGTTCTTATTGGCCTATTTCTTCCCCAGACCCATGAGGGGAAGAGTTAGACAGCAACTACTAGGCTCATCTGATTTATTTTATACAGGGAGATGAGTTTAACAGTAGTTAGACATGTCTTCCCAGTGGTCCTTTTGATGTGGTTGAAGTTATGTTTCCACTCCAGATGCCCTGGGAAACAATGGTCTCCCTAAACCCCGAGCATCACCCTTGGCATCCCCCCTCTTCTTCTTGCCTTTCCTTCAATAAGGAGAGGAACGCGCTCATGTATCGGCTAAACTCTGTTTTACCTTGTATCTTTTTTTCTAATTTCAACTCCCAAGATTGGATAACCACCATCAGAACTTCAGAAAAATGCATTGCAGGTAACACTAGGGAGAAACCAATATGGAGTATTGCAAGAAATACTAGCAGCCAGTGTTTCTGTGCTTCCTTCATCTTCCGTCTCTTACCCAGATGCTTTTTGGGTCCACACATAGGAAGACTCCCAGGTTTCAGTAGTGAAGAATTTTGGCTGGCATTTTTTCCCTGATTTAAACTTCAATTATTCGTTCCCCATAGTACCTTCCATAGAACTTCCTGCGGTAGTGGAAATGTTCTGTACCTACATGGTCCAGCATGGCAGCCACGAGCTACATGTGACTGGCAAACACCCAAGATGTGGCTGGTGCAACTGAGGAACTATATTTTCATTTGATTTAGTAGCCTTGTGTGGCCAGTGCCTATGCCATGTAAGGTGCCCAGCTCTAGAGCTTTGCTTCCTTGTATGTGAATGGCCCCCGGGGCTAAATTCTTACTGTCAGGTAGCAAGGTAGTTTTCCAGGTCTGTAAACACTGGCCCAGAGGAAGTGTTTTCCTCTATAACTTTTGGTTTGATTTTGGTTTTATTCTGTTTTTTTTTTTTTTGTTGTTGTTGTTGTTGTTGTTAAAATAATGCCACATCACAGAAAATTTAGAAATGACAAGGGATGATATTTACTTAAATATTTAAAATATTGTCTTTGAGGCTGGGCGTGGTGGTTCACACCTATAATCCTAGCACTCTGGGAAGCCTAGGTGGGTAGATCTCCTGAGTTCGAGACCAGCCTGAGCAAGAGTGAGACTTGGGTCTGTATTAAAAATGGAAAAACTAGCCAGGCATTGTGGTGGGCACCTGTAGTTCCAGCCATTTGGGAGGCTGAGGCAAGAGGAATGCTAGAGCCTAAGAGTTTGAGGTTACTATGGGCTGTGATACCATGGCGCTTCGCCCGGGGTGATAAAATGAGACTCTAGCTCCTAAACAAACAAACAAATAAGTAAATAAAAGAGTCTCCTTGGGACTTTTTCATACCTATGTCATTTTCACAGAATTATAATCACAGTTGTTACTACCTTTTTCTGTGTTCATAGTCATTTTTAGCAGTTGCATAATATTACGTGGACTGGATATAAGATAATCAACTCTTCCCCTGTTGAATATTTATGAGGCTTCCTTTTTTGCTGTCAATAAGTAAATAACTTTGATAATAAATAGACAAAAAACCTTGCCTTTAGCTTGTTCTTCTTTTTTTTTTGCATTAGTTTCTTTGGCTCAACACCAAAGTACATTCTTTAAAGATTATAACCCACTAGACTAACTCATAAGCACCAAGAAAGCAGAGACCATGTCTCTTTTTGCCCTCTTTGATAAAAAGGGCTTGTCACTTAGTAAATACCTCACAAACAATTGTGGAATGGATTAATTTATATCGCGACCAACACAGATTTATTACACATCTGCCAGCATTGGCTATTATACAATTTTATAAGTGTTTTTTTAATTAGGCAAGTGAAAAATATTCTCATCTTAATTTGCATTCTTTCACTGCCTATCAGGGATCCCATTATGGGGCTGACCCATTACCTCCTCTATTTTTTTTAGCATACTATCCCCACTCCCAGACAGGGATTTTAAGAATATTCTTCTGGGCTCAGCACCTGTGGCTCAAGTGGCTAAGGTGCCAACCACATACACCTAAGGTGACGGGTTCGAATCCAGCCCGGGCCTGCCAAAACAACAATGACAGCTGCAACTGAAAAATAGCCAGGCGTTGTGGCGGGCGCCTATGGTCCCAGCTACTTAGGAAGCTGAGGCAGGAGACTCACATAAGCCCAGGAGTTGGAGGTTGCTGTGAGCTGTGATGCCACGGCACTCTATCCAGGGGGATAGCTTGAGGCTCTGTCTCAAAAAAAAAGAATATTCTGTTCCTTGTATCTTCCTGTGGTTTCTTGTTCTTGCCAAGGTCATCCCTCACTTTTAACTGGCAAAGATCCCTCCTTCCACAGGTAATTGGCAAAGGCAGTGAAAAGTCCGACGACAACTCCTATGATGAGAAGTACCTGATTGCCACCTCTGAGCAACCCATTGCGGCGCTACACCGGGATGAGTGGCTCCGGCCGGAGGACTTGCCCATCAAGTATGCTGGCCTGTCCACCTGTTTCCGCCAGGAAGTGGGCTCACATGGCCGTGACACCCGGGGTATTTTTCGAGTCCATCAGTTTGAGAAGGTGAGTAGCAGGTCAGAGTAAGGAGAGGAACCTTCTGTCTGTCCAGGGTGGTTAGGGGAGAGACAGGATCTGTATTGCTCAGGCCCATTCTGGCCACCACTTTTCCTCTCTGTGTCTCTAGGGTAGCGCCTGAGAAGCACAGGTGGAGTGGCTGGAGTCCGCACTGAGGAGCTAGGCAGCCTGGCTCCGAATGCCGACTCCACCCTTAGCTGCTGTGTAACATGGGACAAGCTGCGGAGCCACTCTCTGCGCAGTTTCCGCCTCTGAAATGGGGGGGTGGGGGCAGTAATAATAGCACCTACCTCACCAGGCCTGCTGTGAGGATTGTCCTAGGTAATGAGTGCAAAGCACTCAGAACAGTGGCTGGCATGTATAGCATGAGTCATTACAAAAGTTTTGAGATACACAAAAATCAAGAAATATAACATCCAAATGGACGGAAACAAATGAAGCCTTCCCAGCAACACCCATAAGCCGAGCAAGCGAAAGCTTACACAGGCGAATCAGGAAGGATGCTGTTTACTGTATTTCTTAGAAGTGAAATATGGTCCATAACACAGTCTGTCTCAAAACTTGCACCGTATCCACATACATGGTGGCTTTCTATGTAAGCATTTGTTGTTATTGCACTCCAGTCCACTTGTGACTGGTCCCTGTTGCTGGAGGGCCAGCTTTCCCTGCCTCCCTGTGGTGTGGGGATAGGTCTTCATCACAAAGATGTCTTCCACTTCAGTCCTTTATTCACCCTGTACCATTGTCACCATCTCCTTGGGTCCCTCTCTACAGATTGAACAGTTTGTGTACTCCTCACCCCATGACAACAAGTCATGGGAGATGTTTGAAGAGATGATCACCACCGCAGAGGAGTTCTACCAGTCCCTGGGGATCCCTTACCACATTGTGAATATTGTCTCAGGTACGGGACCTATCCTTTGGCTTCCCTCTTCTGCATCCCACAGGCACCACCCTCACCAGCTCAGCTGCTACACTAAAAAATAGCTCATAACCCAGCCTATTGCCCATATTAATTAAAATATCTCAGTCTTCTCACTTGGGAGTATTTGGTGATACTAATATCTGGGTACCGTTTCACTTGTGGGAATAGGATATGAATTAAAGAATTCTTCAGACCCACTAAAGGTTAGCCTTCTGTAATACTATCTCTCCTTCATGAATTCGAGGGGTTTTTTCCCTAACAGGTTCTTTGAATCATGCTGCCAGTAAGAAGCTTGACCTGGAGGCCTGGTTTCCGGGCTCGGGAGCCTTTCGTGAGTTAGTCTCCTGTTCTAATTGCACGGATTATCAGGCTCGCCGGCTTCGAATCCGATACGGGCAGACCAAGAAGATGATGGACAAGGTAGACAGTCCCCAGGGAGGTGGGAACCAGGGCCTTCCTTATAGAATGCATCCATCTTATTTCTCATCCCTTGGGTCATGGGAAAATTTGAGCTTCTCAATCTATACCAAAAAAGGGAATCTAAAAATGACCTCTACTGAGTCAGGCCTGAAATTCTTTTAAATAGAAACCTGAATCTAGCTCTATTCTGCAAGGTAATTCTAGCTTTTCTCTTTTGGCTTTGTTTTTCTTAACTCCAGAGAAAGAATAATCTCCATTTATCTACACAGAACAACTTGGAGGCAATGTCTTCCCTCTTCTCACCCAAGAAGGTCTGGGTTGTAAGCTTTTTTCTTTAAACCCAATCTTCAGGCCCTAATCTTTAACAAGTCAGGGGCTCGAAAGAAGTTGAAAGAAGAGGCCACAGTAGTAGTTTCTTCCTTCCCTCAAAGGGCCTAACTCCTCAGAATACTGGGACCTACTACTTGTCAACTCAGGGAAGCATGCGGAATCTTTCTGGAGTTGTCTGCTAAGTAATGAGTGCCAAACAGGATTCGAGTTTAGAAAAAAGTTTATGTCTGTCTCTCACCTGTACTCCTTTATGAGAGGGACCCACTTCCAACTCTCTTTGCATTCTCTAAACTTTCTCTTTGAACCTGGGTGCAGTGGCTCACACCTGCACTAGCACTCTGGGAAGCTGAGGCGGGTGGATTGCCTGAGCTGTTGGATTCAAGACCAGCCTGAGCAAGAGCAAGACCTTGTCTCTAAAAATAGTCAGGCGTGTGCCTATAGTCCCAGCTACTTGGGAGGCTGAGGCAAGAGGATCACTTGAGCCCAGGAGTTTGAGGTTGCCATGAGCTATAACGCCACGGCACTATACCAAGGACCACAAAGTGAGACTTTGTGTCAAAAAAAATAAATAAGTAAACTTTCTCTTTGAAAAGAAAAAAGTTGATAATGGGTAAAGTCCATCATTTTGATGTGTTCAGTTATAGTTAGGGAAGTTCTAGCTGGTTCCTGGTCATCAGTGAGGCCAGTTGAGAGTTGTTGAGTTTAACTTTCCCTCTGGGACACTCTCTTCCCAGGTGGAGTTTGTCCACATGCTCAATGCCACGATGTGCGCCACTACTCGTACCATCTGCGCCATCCTGGAGAACTACCAAACAGAGAAGGGCATCATTGTGCCTGAGAAACTGAAGGAGTTCATGCCGCCAGGTAAAACTTCCAGCTCAGCTCATTTCCCCCCTCTTTTCTGTGTTCATATTCTTCTGAGTAGCAGGCCCCCTTCAGGAGGTACCAAATTTTCCTGGTAAGATAGTCCCTTGAGACTCTGTCTGCCCTCTACTCCTGGGCAACACAGGAGTAGACCTCAGCGACAGGTCCTGGCTGAGAAGGTAGCCTGTGCAGGAATGTTATTTCTGTGCTGCTAACATTCAGACTGGGGAAGAAAAGAATAAATAAACCAGTGCCTGTTGAGGGGGATTCCTTTGTTCAAAGAGATCCCTTTGTGCCCAGAAGTCCTTGAGCTTAGACTCTCTGAGAAACGATAGGTCATCTAGTTGGCTCTTCCCTCTCAGGACTCCAAGAACTGATCCCTTTTGTGAAGCCTGCGCCCATTGACCAGGAGCCATCAAAGAAGCAGAAGAAGCAGCATGAGGGCAGCAAAAAGAAAATGGCAACAAAAGATGTCGCCCTGGAAAACCGGCTGCAGAATATGGAGGTCACTGATGCCTGAACAAACATTCCCGCCTCCCAGTCTGCCAGGCTTTCATTTCTGTCTGCTGGGATCTCAGAGCCTGCCCAAGAGCAGGGAAGCCAAGTACCCACTCATCGCCCTGTCCCCATCTGACTGCACAGCTGAAAGGGCAACAGTCCACCATGTACAACACACATGTTCCTGTCTCTGGGCATGGGCATGGAAGCTAATCACCGGTGACTGATGAAACCATGTAATAAAGCATCTCTGGGGAGGGCTTAGGACTCTTCCTCAGTCTTCTTCCCGGGGCTTGAGCCCTGTCTCTGACAGTTCTTCCTGATACTACTCCACACAAGGCTGCTCCCTCTCTTTAGCATATCACAAAACCTTTGGGCAAGTAGGAAGGGCTCCTGGGAAAGGAAGGGAGGCTATATTTAATTTAGAAGAGCCTTTGGGCTCGGCGCCTGTAGCTCAACCGGCTAAGGTGCCAGCCACGTACACCTAAGGTGGCGGGTT